GGGGGGAGGGAGGAGGAAGGGGGAGGGGCGGAGGGAGGAAGGAGGCAAGTCCCCAGGGGCCAACTCCAGAGGGACAGATGCTCTGGGGTGAGCAGTGGTCACAGTCCCCACGAGAACAAGTGCCAGGCCTGAACCAAGGATCTAGGGTTTTAAGATCAAGGTCAGGCGTGTGAGACAGGTAGGGAGCTGGGACTGTGGGCCTTGCTTTCAGCTGGAGCCCTCTGAGCTCCACTTTCAGTGAAAGACCCAGAAAATCAGCCCCACCTTCCTGGGGACACTTGGAGGGACCTGGTCTGGATTTGGGTGAGGAAAAGAAGCCCCCGACAAAATTTCTAACACAAAGTCCATTTTCACAAGGTTGGATTTTACCTACTGCACTTTGTATAGAAATAACACAAGCTAAAAATTTAATATAAAAATCTGTCCCTGGCTGGCAGCATCCCAGTGGCAGCAGGAAGAAGCAAATCCAAACCTCCTCGGATCGGGAGGGAAGCATTGTGATGTCAGACTAACAGAGGCCCGAGGATGGAGCCTCAGCCGCGGGAAGATCCGAACCCAGATTTCAACGTCCGCGCAGAGACCAGCACAAAACACAGCGAGGGGCAGGGCCAGACTCCAGGGATGTCGGGCAGTAGAAAGACGCAGAGAATTACAGACGTGAGAAAAGAACAAGAAATAACAGCTGATCCGAAAAAGAACTTAGAATTTTCAGAAATGAGAAATACGGCAACTGAAATTAGACACATAACAAGCAATTTCAACAGCCGATTAGATACGACCAAGGAGAGAAGTACTCAACAGAGGGACGGACCCCGGGAAACACTGAGAAACCTGCTCAGGGAGATGACGGGGCGGGGGGGGATGTGAGACAGGCGTCAGGAGGTGTGGGGGGCACAGAACAGACAGGGTTTGAATCGGAACACGGGGGCAGGTCTGTGAGGATGGGAGGTAGGCGACATCTGAAGGGACAGGGCGGAGAAACGTCCACAGCTGTTCAAAGAGCTGAATCCTCTGATCAGGAAGCACAGGGAGTTCTAAGCAGCCCTAGGAAAGATCAGTCCACATCAGACACACTGTCATAGACATGCAGGACCCCAAGGGGAGGGCAAGCTCACGGCAACCTGAGGAAAGAGCTCGATAACCTACAAAGACAGGGGATCGGACGGAACAGCAACAGCAGAAAACAGGAGACAGGGGAGTAAGATCCTCCAAGTGTGGAGAGGAAAGTGCTGCCAATAAAAAATTCTTGCTCCAGGCTTGGGGAGGGGCGCCTCAGGGTGGCCTAGGTGACAGCGACCACCCGACTCTGGGCCTCCGCCGACTCCTCCAGAAACCCACAGCTCAACAGGAAGAACTAGCAACACAGGAAAGCCCCCGCTGTCAGCATGCCTGGAAGGCGGAGGACACGCGGGCGATAAACACATGAGCCTCTGCAGATCCCGCGTCCGGCCACAGTCGGCACAGAACGGGACAGCGCGGCCTTCGCGGGGAGGCTGACCAGAGCTGTGGACTCAGGGAGCAGCCCCGGGAAGCCCCTGGGGGCAGAGGTCAGGGCCTTGGAGGCTGCAGCGCTCACAGCAGGAGCCCCCGGGACCTCCAAACTGAGGACAGAAGCTGGAGAAACCAGGGCGGGGAGGAGAAAAACCTTAACGGCAAAGGCAAAATGCTCAAGGAGCAGAAGAGAAGAGGGTCCCGCAGAAGACACAGCAACGGTGGTTACAAGAAAAATGAGGGGAAAGCAAAACAGGAAAGAAGCAAGGATTACAGGGACAGAAAGAAAATCAGACACAAAAGAGGACCCAAGTCAGGTATCAGTGGGGTCTCAGAGGAAGAAACCTGAAACCCTGGAACAGAGGAAAAATGTAAATACATTTACATTTTATTTAGAGTAATGAAAATAACAGAAATAAACAAATGGGACCTAATGAAACTTCAAAGCTTTCGCACAGCAAAGGAAACCATAAACAAGACGACAAGACAACCCTCAGAATGGGAGAAAATATTTGCAAATGAAGCAACGGACAAAGGATTAATCTCCAAAATATTCAAACAGCTCGTGGAGCTCAATATCAAAAAAATACAAACAACCCAAATAAAAAATGGGTGGAAGACCTAAATAGACATTTCACCAAAGAAGACGTAACAGATGGCCAAGAGGTACATGAAAAGATGCTCAACATCACTAATTATTAGAGAAATGCAAATCAAAACTACAATGAGGTATCACCTCAAACCAGTCAGAAGGGGCATCCTCGGAAAATCTACAAACAACAAATGCTGGAGAGGGTGTGGAGAAAAGGGAACCCTCCCACACTGTTGGTGGGAATGTAAATTGATACAGCCACTATGGAGGACAGTATGGAGGTTTCTTAAAAAACTAAAAATAGAATTACCATATGTACCAGCAATCCCACTGCTGGGCATATATCCTGAGAAAACCATAATTTAAAAAGACACATGCACCCCAATGTTCACTGCAGCACTATTTACGATAGCCAGGACATGGAAGCAACCTAAATGCCCATCGACAGATGAATGGATAAAGAAGATGTGGTACATATATACAATGGAATATTACTCAGCCATAAAAAGGAACGAAATTGGGTCATTTGTAGAGATGTGGATGGACCTAGAGTCTGTCATACAGAGTGAAGCAAGTCAGAAAGAGAAAAACAAATACCGTATGTTAATGCATATATATGGGATCTAGAAAAATGGTACAGGTGAACCTATTTACAGGGCAGGAATAGAGATGCAGACGTAGAGAACGGACCTGTGGACACGGTGGGGGGAAGGGGAGGGTGGGACGAATTGGGATATTAGGTTTGACATAAATACACTACCACGCGTAAAACAGATAGCTAGTGGCAACCTGCTGTATAGCACAGGGAGCTCAGCTCGGCGCTCCGTGACGACCTAGATGGGTGGGATGGTGGGGGGTGGGAGGGAGGTACAAGAGGGAGGGGATGTATGTAGACATACAGCTGATGCACTTCATTGTACAGTAGAAACTAACACAACCTTGTAAAGCAATTTTACTCCAATTAAAAAAAAAGAATTATTGGATACAATTAAAAGAAAAGAAAGAAAATTTAAATACAGAGTTCAAGTACACAGTCCCGAAATAAAAGATGGCTTTTTTCTTCACCTTGAAAAGGCACAAGGCCCTCCAGGGAAATCTTACCCAGAGTGGTCAACCTCAAAACACAATGAAGGGGAAAACATCAAGCCATTTATCAGGGAAAACTGGGCTGGTCTCAGGAAGGCGGAGGAGCCACTTTACAAAATGCTCACGGGGACCCAAGCTGAAGGCTTTGTGCCCCAAATGTGGGTCAAATAAAAAGGCTCTGATAGCAGTTGCAGGGACTGAAGCACCCGCCCCGCGCGCGCGCCGCCCGCCTCCCCCCCAACCCGCGCGCCGCCCGCCTCCCCCCCACCCCCTAGTACTCGATGTGGATGAAGTCCCCGAGGTGCTCCTCCACGCCCACCAGCTTGCAGTAGTTAATCGTGTAGGTGGCGTTAGTCAGCGTGATCTTTTTCTTGTACACTTTGCCGAGATCAAAGTCCTAGGAAAAGCACATAAAAAGCTACTGCTCCGAGTTTTCTGGCGGATGCTTCTCAGCACCTGACATTCCCGCCTGGGAGATGGGGACACCCTCCATGGTCTCGTAGGACCCCTGCCTCAGGCAGGAAGCGGCCTCCTGGGGACCAGCGGGTGGGGGTCCCCCAGCAACGGGTCGGGTGGTGCCTGGGTCCTCCAGAGGGACCAGGAAGGTGTGACATGCCAGCCCCCCAGGACAATCGCCCTCCTGGGGCTGGTGTCTGACCCCTCGTGTGAGACCGGGCCCTGTCCCCTCAGACCCAGGCGAGGACCCTGGGCTCACCTTGAAGTGGACGAGCTTGGGCTTGCTGTTGAAGGGACACCCTCTGAACTCGCGCCTGGATGCCACCTGCTTGTGGGTCACCCCGCGGCACAGCCGCTGCGCAGTGTGCGCCAGGATGTCCTTGTCCGTCTTCGTTCCGCCCATGGGTTTCTGGCCCACGTCCTCCTTGGGCACCTGGGGTTTTGCGGGGACAGTGGCCGTCTCGGGAGCCCCCCCAGGCCTCCCCGAGGTCAGCAGGGGAGTAAAGGAAATGGACAGCCCGGAGCCGGGGGCCACCACGGCCGCAAGGGGCCGGGGTGGGGTGGGCACCAGCAAGGCGGGGGAGGGGGTATGGCAGGGTCAGGGGAGAAACAAGGGGCCGAGCAGGGCCGTCCAGGATCCGGCGGATTTCCAGGAAATAATGGCAGAGAGGTATTTTCTAGATTTTAAAATCAGGCCAAGAGAAAGTTCTTGAAAAGCTCTACCGGAAACAACAGTTTTTCAGTGGCACAAATAAAGGTGCCTCCCTGACCGGCTTAGTGACTTGAAGAGGGACCCTCTGGGGGCTTGGCTCCCGGTGCCCCTGCTGGCCCAGGGGCTGGCATCCTCCTGCCTCGCTCTCCTGGGTGGGAGCCGGGCTGCTGACCGGTGGTGCCCAGGGAGTGGCCGGGCCCGAGCAGAGCAGCGGCAGGCCTCCTCAGAACCAGCGGAACCAAAATGGCTTTGCCCTCAGAGCAATGGGAACCAACTTGTACACAGACCAAGGGTGGGCGATGTCCTCCATGTGGCCGCGGGCCTCGGCTGACCAGTGCAGAGACAGGGCCAGAGCCTGTGTCCTGCTGCGTGCAGTGGACACTCGCTAGCTTCTCGGCTCCCAGAGCTGTGCCTGCCCTCTTAGAGCCAGGACGACCAGTGCTCCTCGGCTCCCAGAGCCTGTGTCCTGCTGCGTGCAGTGGACACTCGCTAGCTTCTCGGCTCCCAGAGCTGTGCCTGCACTTTTAGAGCCAGGACGACCAGTGCCCTGGAGAGCGCGTGTTCCGTGACAAGAGGCCGTCAAAGGAAGTGTGAGCTCATGCCTTTTTCTAGCGACACATTTCCCCAGTAGTAAGCTGGAGCATTAGGACTCGGCCCCACCCCTCGAGCCCCCTGCCTCATCCCTCCGTGTGTGGCCACCACCGGCCCTGTGGTTGTTTGGGAGGAACCCACCCCTCGAGCCCCCTGCCTCATCCCTCCGTGTGTGGCCACCACCGGCCCTGTGGTTGTTTGGGAGGAACCCACGCCTCGAGCCCCCTGCCTGCATCCCTCCGCGTGTGGCCACCACCGGCCCTGTGGTTGTTTGGGAGGGAGGTGGCTGGGGGGAACTGCAGAGCAGCCCCCGCGAGGGGGGCCGCCACGGTCGCCAGGACAGGGTGGAGACATGGGAGACGGATGAAAAGATGTGGCCGCGTGTCCGAGGGGCTACCTGGTAGGGCTTGCAGTCCTCCTTCCAGAGCCCAGGGATCTCCGGCCGAGCCAGCGTCCCCGCCTCCCGGCCAAGGCTCCCCCTGTCCGCCTGGACGGACTCGCCGGACACGGCTTTCACCAGCAGAGAGGCTTGGGGTAACGCAGACCTGCCCTCCTGGAGTTGGGGAGAGGAATGCGACAGCTTATTCTAGAAAACAGAGATTGTACTGACCGGGAGGAAGAAAGTGCGGACCGTCAGGACTCCAGGGCCTTGGCAGACCACCCAGCCCCGGTCTGCACTCAGAGGCCAGAGCGCACACGGGTTTGCAACTGCTCTTCACACCATGAGCGTCTTTACACAGCGTGAAAGCCTGGCCTCCGACGCCCACAAGACCCACAGACACTCTGACTTATGGACACCCCGGAACCCCCTTCACGGACCCTCAGCTGCTCTAGGGCCAGACGGGGCCTCCCTCCGGGGACATCAGGCTGGCACAGGGACAAGAGTGGAGGGCGATGTTGCTGCAGGCGTGAGAAAGGCCCCACGTGGAGAAGGGCAGGAGCACGGCTGGGGGCGAGAGGACAGAGAGGCACAGCTTTGGGGGGCGCCCACGAAGCAGCCTGGGGGTTGCGGCTGGCAGCGCACTGCTGGAGCCAGTGACCTGGGCCTTCAGGCTGGGGGCACACAGGGCAGAAGCAGAAGGGCTGCCGGGCTCAGGATGGGGACCCGACGTCCCTACCCCATACCCTCAGGGACAGGTAAGCAGGTCACCTATGGGGCAACCGGCACAGGGCCGGCCCTCTATGTGAGGACTGAGTGCAGGGATGGAGGGAAACGGCCCGGCTCCGGGGCGAACGTGCGTGGGGGGTGGACGGGGGCACACGTCTCCCCTGGGCCGTGATGGGCCTTTGGTCACCAGCCTGGCTCTGGCATCTGGGGACAGGTAAGGTGGCCCAAGACAATCCTGTTCAGGGGACATGTGGCGGTGGGGGTCTGCTTCCCCAGGCGGGCCAGGCGCCGGAGACCGGGGGGGGGGGGGGGGGGGCCGCGGGGGGCATGGAACACGTGCACCAGGGCTGGGGCCGCCTGGCGACCAGAGGCTGTGCCTGCGTCCGGCGAAGGGGCGGAGGGGCAGGAGCGCTCTCCGTGGTCCTGATCTGAGCTGGCCGGTGCGGTCCAGTGTAGCAGGGGCGTCCGCTCACCGGGGGGCAGCAGGGCGGGTCCGCCGGGCCCTTCCCGTCATGGAAAGCGGCCACGTAGCTCCGGGTCTGGTCCCTCAGGATCGGCCGGCCCACGGGTCTGGCGGGCGAGGGCCGCTGCTTCCTCCTGGCCTCCTCGGCCTCCTCCTTCAAGATCCGACTCACAATCTCGTGCTTCCTGAGCTTCTGCTCCTCCTCGAAGGCGCTGCGGGGAAAACGCCAGCTGCGCCCGGCCCCCGAGAGGCTCGGCCCGCAGGAGCCGACGGAGGGAGCCCAGAAGGGCCGCCGGGCCAGAGACCTGGGACGCGAACCTCCGGCCCAGCGCCGTCCCCGCCACAAGCCTCGACCCCGTGAGCTGTTGCGTCCCCCACTCCGGGTTCCCAGGCGCCACTGGGCGCCCTGAGGCTCAGACCAGGGCAGCCTCAGGGCTGGAGGCCGGTCACTCAGTCAGTCATTCCCGCTGCTCCTTGCTGGCGCCTCCCACCTGCCAGGACTAAGGGCTCCGAGGCAGGAGGAGCTGCCCCTGGGACCCCTGCGGGCAGGCGATGACCCAACGCCAGGGCTGGCACTCAGGGCACCGTGACTCCCCAGTGACAGGACCGGGTGGCCACACCTGGGCAGGTGCTGACAGTGACCACGATGGGCGGGGCTGCTTGTGGGGGAAGGGACAGGCCCTCCAGGATGAAGAGGAAGTGACAGAACCTTGTGTGCAAGGCTGGGCTGAGGCAGGAGAGTTGGCCACCTCACCCTTGCATCTTGGGAAGCCCCCGGGCGGAACCCCGTGTCTCAGGTCGGGTGCAGCCTGGGGAGTTGAGAACGGGGGACTTGCAGGCCGAGGGGTTCTTAGGGGATGACGGGGTGCAGCGTGGACTGAGGCAGCACTGAGCCCCGGTTTGGGGGAGCCCAGAAAGCAAGCCCCGGCTGCCCGCAGCCTCTGGGAGGGAGGAGGCCACGGGCGGGGGATGCCCGGGGCAGCAGGGGCAGTGAGGGCTGTGCCTGAGGCCCAGGAGACGTCCCGCCTGCTGGGGGCTGGAGAGCAGGATGTGGGGGGTGGGGGGTGGGAGGGGGAGGCCCAGGGAGAGAGGCAGCCTCGCCGCAGGTTGTGACAGACACACGCACCCACCGCTCTGGGATGCCACCCCACCAGGCCCTCACCGGTTCTGGGTCTCCAGCTCCTGGCGCCGGCGTTGATGGCAAAAGTGCTTGAAAGCGTCCCCACCTTGGGCCAGAATCACCTCCTTCTCGGCCTGGGCCCTCTGTTCCGCCAGCTCTGCCTTGGCCTGGCCCCATGCTTGAAATTTCCGGAGTGTCTCCTTGGGAACAGAGAACACGGACGTGCCAGCATCCGCAGGTGTGCGCGTGCGCAGTGGAGCTTTCTGTGGGCTGGGTGCCCTCAAATCGTACCGGAGACGCCGGAGGTCAACGTTTGTGGAAATCACCACTGCTCCCACCTGCACCCGCCTCCTGCAGCTGCCCCCTCCCCAAAATCCTCAGGGGCTTCCCGAGGCCAGAGCCCCGCTGTCTCCACTGGACTGGCGGCTCACTGCGCATCCCTCCCCGCTTCCCTGGTCTAACTGCCCCCCAGGCCCCGGGGGGTATCACTTCCCCTGGGAAGGCCCAGGGCTCCAGCACTCGCCTCGCCGAGCCCGGGTCCCCCTGGAGCACGGGAGCCTGTCCAAGGGCAGGTGAGCGCATCCTGAGGGCGTCGGGGGGTGGGGCCAGTCCTACCTGGTTGGCGGAGATGCTGCTCTTCAGGGCCAGCACGGCGTCCATGCGCCTGCGCGCGTGCTCGCGGCTCTCCAGCTCCTCTCTCCGCTCCTGCTTGCGGATCCTGGCGGGGAGGACCTGCTCATGGAGCAGTGGCCACCAGGGGGAGGAGCCCCAAGGAAGCAGCCAAGCGCCAGGATGTTAAAGGCAAGTGGGAAAGAGCTGGGCTGCGCGTGGACCACGAGGAAACGTGAAAGCCGTTTCTCTAGACTGGAGTCCTCGCCTGAAACTAACGGCCGTCAGCTCAAAGCTGGAAACACACATTTATTCTTTCTGGGTGATGAGGTGACGGCTCAATGATAAAATCGGAGAATTTCAAAACGAAGGCAATTGATCCACTTTCTCAGGCTTCCCTGTGTGGGCGGGGGTGGGGTGAGGGGAGGGACAGGAGGAGAGGCGCGGAGAGAAGAGAGCCGCTGTACCTCCCCAGGGAGGCCTTCAGGAACTTCACGGCCTTCCGATGGTTCTTCTGGGCGTCTTCCACCAGCTTCTGGTGCCTGAGCCCGTGCTCCTTCTGTAGGTACACGGACCTCCTGCAGGGACACGGGGCAGCGGGAACAGGGACACGTCCTGTGCAGGCTTGGCTGCAGAGGGCCCGGGACCAGGGCCAAGTGCATGAGGCGGGAGGGCCCTGCGCTGTGCCTGGTAGGGGGCGGGGCCGTGGGGACCCTGTGGGTGTCCACAGGCTCGGATCCCACGGAAGCAGCAGGAAGATCTGGCAACGGGCTGGACGAGGTGGGGGGTGGGAGAGCCGGAGGACCTGTGAGGACCCTGTGCCGGGGCGAGGGCGGGGGGGGGGGCCCTGGGGGCGGCTGCATCCCCCAGCCTGCAGCACACCTACTCTACCGGCCCCGCCCTCAGAAGCAGCTGCCCGCGGGGCACGGGTGATGTCGGGGCCTCAGGAGGACAGGCCACAAGGAGTGGCCAGAGCCGGGAAAAGGGCAGGGTGTCCAGGAGGGAGGCGGCCATCAGGTCAGGGAGCGAGCGTGGCCCAAGCCACTCTGCCCAGGCTGGGGCTGGGTGGGCAGGGGCGCAGGCGTGGGGCGGGGGGGGGGGGGG